CTTAGTAAGCACGCCGTCTTTCCGGGAGCCAATGTCATTTGGACTGGCGAAGGCCCCCGGGGGCTTGGGTGAGTCCGGCGTGCAGCCCCCTGTGCTATCGAGAGCTTGCTCTCTCTGGATCGCCCTACACGCCTCCACCACAGGCCACATGCGAAAGTGCCGCGCCATGGTGGAAACCTCCACCAGGTTCTCCAGCTTCAGTGACAGGGTGGAGGTGTAGGAGAACTCAAGCAGGGAGAGGAAGCTCTCCTCGCTGAAACCTAGAAATGAGAGATGAGGCCACAAGGTCAGTGTCTCCCACCCTACACTGACAGCAATGGCCATTCCACAGAAACAACCCTTGAAGAATGTTCCCATTGGAGTTTTATGGGTCTTAGGAAATCCAAAAGAGAGACGGGAGAAGGAGAGCAGCAGAAACAGCACCAACAAAGTGCAACAGTGAACAAAGAAAAATCAAAGTATGCATTTGGACTGGAGAGGACAGCTCAGAGAAGCAGGTTACCTCGAAGCAACAGAGAACAGGAAAAACTATTTTTAATTAAACAGGCAGGGTGAACACAGGCTCTGAGGTGACACGGGCAGACCTGTTTCAACTCAAACAAGCAGCCTAAAATATGATAATCCAAACACGGCGCAATTTTAGCACAGATGCTGGAAGATCTATCCGAAGGCCCGTGTGGTTTTTTTTAACAGATCTCACTGAGAGCCACATCCGGAGAGACGCAACTAACGCTGTCCCTGCTGTTGCGTAAAACTGGGAAAAAGAGACTGCGAAGAAACGGCTGCCCTCACCGGTCAGGTCGATGTCGGACTGCGGGCTGGGCGAAGAGGCCATCTCAACAAATACCTCCTGGAAGTACTCACTGACGGCCGCCAGCACGGCCCTGTGCGCAGAGAAGGAGCGGCTGCCTGTACGCAGGGTGATGTCGCAGAAGAGACCTTCCTCCCACTGGCCCTTCAGCTTGCACAGCATGTCACTGGCATGGGTTGTCAGCGTCTTGGAGACCAGCGAGCTGGCGGGCGTCTGTAGAGGAGATGATGTGAGGACTGTGCTGATGTCTGGCCACATGCTGAAGCAGGCAGCTCAGTTCAGTCCAGTCCTGGAGGACTGTGGTTCCTATCTGTACAGACCGAAGTACCTGCATTCTCAGAAAAGCCTTAACATACTGTGACTTAGGCGTCAGCGTGTCATGTTTGTTTCCCCGCTGTGACTCTTACCTCTCGGCCTTCCTGTTCCGTCTGACATTCCCGGCAGCCTGTGACATATTCCCTGATCTGGAAATACATCCCTGAAGAAAAGAGCAGGGAAGCGTTATGCAACAATTTATGAAGCGAGCAGCATAATGGTGCAGTGGGTAGCGCTGTTGCCTCTCACACCTCTGGGAGCAGGGTTCGAGTCTCTGCAATGGCTTTGTGTGTGAAGTTTGCATGTCCTCCCTGTTTTGTAGTGGGGTTTCCTTTGGGTATTCCAGTCCCCCCCCCCAACCGAAAAACATGCTGAGGTTAATTTGAATTCACAAACTGCCCACAGGTGTACATGTGTGAGTGAATGGTGTGTAAGTGTGTCCTGCTATTGGTTGGTGCCCCATCCTGGGTATATTCCCTGCCTTGCTCCATTAGCCTCTGGGATAGTCTCCGGACCCCCCGCAACCCTGACTAGGGTAAGTGGTGTCAGAAAATAAATGGATGTCTAATGTGCAAGAATCAACAGAGAGAACATCCACTTTCTCAAACATGTATTTTCTATTAGATTTCATGTGTTAATCTCATTGCTTAATGCGCCATAAGGACTGAAATTTTCCTTTTGTTAAAATGGTAACCTCTCACTAACTAAAAGCAGATGTACTGTCTTTTGGAGTTCAAAAGAATAATAAAAAATGTTCCTTTTCCATTGCTTACTGAATATTTTCACAACAGGGAGTGTAGATTACAAGAAATTCACTAAACAGAGTGACTCCCATCCATTGAGCCATTTTAGCAAACTTTTAAACTTACAGTGCTGGGATTTGCGCATTTAATTGTACCTGTTTTATACAAAGATTCAATCAGAAATGAAAACCAAACGGCCAGGACCAGGCCCTGAGATAAGCTAGATACAGCCCAAATGGTTTCCCTGGACTGGTCTGAAGCACATGTGGGATCACGGCCGTGGGTCCCGACTGGTTGAAGCCGCGTGGTTCTGAAGCACACTTACTTGGCAACGCAGACATGCAAAGAGGGAGAATAAAGACAGCCATCGCAGGCAAAGCGAAGCGGGGAGGACAGTCCCCTGCGAATTAGGGTACCGTTCGCACGGATGGCGCCAGAGGACCCACCTTCCCACCAGTAATTCTCCGCCACATGTCTATAGGTGTCTTCCAAGGTGTGGTGTTGCTTGCCCGCTCGCTTATGGTGAAAGGTGGCGATTGCTTTCAGTCGCCTGTCCTTGCCCAAGACCTCCCGGTAGTGGATGTATCCTTTCTCCAGCTTTTTGCGGTAAAGCACCCCATCGATCACTTCGAAGTAAGGCGACAGTGTCGCGTCTTTGGACGTGCTCTCCTTGACGGCATCGGCAGCATCGGGACCGCCCGCCGGCTCCCCTTTCGTGACCAGCGCATGTCTGCTGCCCAAATTGTCATCATCCTTAACGTACTTAGTGTTGTGGGTGCAGTCACCGGCCATTTTTCACCGGCTTCCGTGTTTGCCTCCGTCCGTGCCCCCTCCTCTGAACTTCTCCAATGCCCAACCCGGCGAAGCGGTGCCGTCAGATCAGGTCAAACTGTCGCACTAGCAGGTGAAACTTCTCATTTAGGGGTTACACATTTACCTCTAAAACGTTAGCTGTCCACAGCAGTACATCAGTTTAATTATTCGACTGCACGTGAGGGTAATCCATTAAAATGTCACTCAGATGCCGATTTTTTAAAAACAAACCGGTTCGACATTCGAAATAGGACCATTTAAAGTTTCATAAACATTCACCGTGTATTACTAATATCTCAGTCATGGTTCGCCACACACAAACGACATCGTGTCCAATCCGTCCTTATCAGGACCCAAAGATGTCCATGGTACCCAAGCTGCACACCCAAAGTCCGCGGTTCCGACGTCCAAACGGAAAACCTCCTTCAGCTCCTTCTCCCGTAAACGTCATTTTCTCCTGGCTTAATCCATATATCCTGAAGCTAAATCAGCATAATTAGAAATGAGATCAAAAATGCACGTGAAAAAAGTTCTTCTAAAATGCAACTTGAGACCGTGTGTCCTACACACGATGGGAACTGTACCTCACACAGTGTTACTACAATGAACGATGCATATCTCTATAACACTGTACAGAGTGTACGTACTAGCTGGAAACCTACACAGAAAACTGTATCACATACTGTCCTACATGGAAACCTACGAAGAAATACATATCACACTCTCTACTAGCTGGAAACTTGCAAACACAAATGTACCACACGCTGCTACGTGGATACTGTACCCGAGACCTCGCTACCTGGAAACCCACGGAGGGACTGTATTACTAAAAGCCTGCTATCTGACTCATTAATATTGTGTCATACTATTTCTGACAAACGACATCACAGGAGTACTATCCAACCAGTCCCCCGGAGCAGCAAATTGCCTGTACCTAAAAAAGAAATGAAAAATGAAAAAGAGAAGTTAGGTAGCTGGCTACCTGTGCCTCCCACCCAGTAACTTGCGCTAGGATTTCTTACTGGCTGGAGGCTAAGCTACGTGATCTAGCTAGCTGCTCATCCACCGACCATAGTATCGAGTTAACAACTGAAAACGTGAGGCGAGGCGTTCTCTCCTCGCGCCGCAAAACGAGTACTACCGATAATTCCAACTCAAAACATCACAATTTTACAGCCACCGTCACAAACTATCCTTTCAGCTACTACTTCGACCCTTTTCGTGAAAAGTCAGATGACCAAATAATCCAGTTCTTTAACTCGTAACCTTCTGCTGGTTGCCACATGACAACCTAACCCATTCACACATCCATGGCGTCCTACCCTCACTAAATGGCTATTAGCAGAATTGGTGCATCGTCTCTGTCCCGGGAAATATGATTGGCTGCTGTTCCTGTACGTCAAGTCGTGTGGTTCCCGCCCACTCTTTTTTCTCGATGTCAAGGTAGGTTGCTGACATCAGCGTTGTCTTCTGTAGTGTGCGCTGAGTAGTTGATTGTTGTGAAACAACAGAGAAAAACGTAGGGACCATCTGGAATATCCTTAGTAAAAGGACTGGCCTTTAATTCATTTTAGATACAAACGAGTGAATAATTTTAATTTCTTAATAATTTGAATTATATCAAGAATATCATCCACGCTTTTATAGCAATTAATTGTAAACAAGCAAATAAAATGTGTTCGGCAGCAGCGAATAAGTTACTAACATTGCGAATTGTTTTAAATAATTTCAAAGGGATTAGTGTCAATGACTTAGCCAGTGGACATTTCCAGTAAAATCCTTTAGAATTCTAAGGCTTTGGAACTGCTGAAATGATTTGTTGGTCCAGGTTGCTAACAATACCATCTTGTCATCCTGTATCTACTGGAATATAACGTGAATCCAGAGTTTACACCAGCCTATTTTGCGATTTTGGTATGTTTTGTCATAAATCTCTAAGTAAGGAACTGACAATGGCTAGCGCTATTGCCTCATTCCGCTAGAGTGGAGGGGTCAAATCTTACCTCTGCTTTGTATGTGTGGAGTGTGGATGGAATATATCACATGGGCTTCCTCCCATCATCCACAATATACTGTTAGGTTTACTGGTGTTTCTAAACTTCGCACATGTAGGTATACTGGTATCCTATCCAATGTGAGCCGCAGTCTTTAACTGTATGCTGCCTGGGATCGAGGCTGGACAGGTGGGTAATTCTTGTATTCTGCATATCTGGACAAACCAGAATAATTATCTCTTCCCAGCAGAAAATGCTGTAGAACATTTTTTTTCCCCATTATCACAGATTTTTGGACAAAAATGACATCATAACTCATTCGGACTCGTTTAGGAAAAGTGGCTTTACTAAACACATTTGTAGCAGTGGACGTAGAGTAAAACCAGCAGGTCAAGTCTACAGGTTATGACAAGAATCCATCAGTTAATATTTATACAGTACAGAGGTTGTGGAAAACTCAGGTAAACTCACAGGATTTGCTTAGTTCAGGGTAACCTAACATTTGCATAGTACAGTTGTTGAATTTTGCCACAAAATGGAAAATGAGTTAAATTAAAAACAAATCACACAATAAGATACAGGAAGAGCTGCCACGTTCCAGCCCAGGAGTTCTGTCTAAAGAAATCATTTGGGTTCAGGGCCCTAAAAATCCATGCCAGCAGCAGCCCCTGCTTTAATTTCATGAAATTGGTTTAATTTTCTTCTCTGAGGCACCTCAAGTAAACCTGTCCAAAAGTAAGTCGTGGGCAAAGATTTAACACATTTCAGTAGGCGATCAGCAAGATCCTGTTTGATATTATCAATGTGACAAGCAGATACATTTACTGCAACTGTTACAGATGTAACGATTCCTTGTCAATCTGTCACATTCTGAGGCTGCAGGTCTGATCAACGTCGAGGCATATGGACTGAAATGGGCAAGGCCCATTACATCCAAAGCAGTTTAATTTTTAAATCTTTTAACATGGATACTATAGAGCTGCATATTCCAGAAAAGAAAACTGCATAAACAAAAATGGGGAGAATACACACAGGAAGAGGTAAAAAGGAGCTCAGACTCAGCTTTCAGTGCTGGGGGTGTTGTGAAAAGAAAAGCAATTTTTTTTTAACCACACTCCTCATACTACGGACAGCAATCACATACCAGGCACAAAACCCTGGAGGTAAAAGCTCAATATGAAAAACACAAAAGACTGAAGATTCCCTTTACATGTTGTCTTTAACATGGCCATGTATAGCTGCAGTGTTCAACAGATACCAGTGTGAACAAAGGGAAGGAGTACTGAATAAGCAATGTTGCCCTTCCTTCAAATGGATGGATGGATGAATGATGCAGCATCGATGACGGGATAGTTCAGAAAAAAGTCCCCTCTCTCCCCCCACACTTAATTTTACGTTTTTCTCGTTTGTTCTGTAGATGCTGGGATGCACAGGCAAGTTTTGCTTGCCTTGTGTTCACCTTTCCCAGAATTCCATGTTAAAGATGAGGCAAGTTGGGGCAGATGCCCGTCTGGAGTAACAAGCGCTACGGAGCCTGTAGCTAAGTAGCAACACAGCGGAGCAGGAGGCCACCAAAGAACCAGGGGAACTGTGGGATCTACCCAAGCTGCAAAGCTCAGTGGAACGACTGATTCCTTGAAGATTTATGCCTATGTGCATGTACACAAAGACAAACACTTCCAAAACTGGCTTCCAAAACACTTCCAAACATGGCTCTAAACACACACTAGCGATGCATGTTAAAAACATACACAAGTGCTCAGTCCCTCAGACTCCCATGATTCTTTGCAAACGGTGGGGTAGATGACATCACTGACACAGACATGTGTAGGTGAGTTAAGGTGATGGATGGGAAAAGCAGGAAGATCCAAAGAGGGTGACAGTCTGTACAAATTGCTGAAGATTCAAAAGGCTCCTACTGGGTTTGGGAGCTACCTGTATCCAAACCCATGGCCCCAGTGGGCCCCGGCCCATCTGTCTTGGTTCTCTTGGCTTCAGGGGGCTGGCATACTGGATCATTTGGAGGAGATGGCCTCTCTGGAACAGCACAAAACAGCACAAGATGCAATCAGTGGTGGTGGGCTCCAGCAGAGACCTCAGCCTCTCACATAGGGATCCAGAAATTCAGTTCTGGACCTGAAAGAAGCTGACTGCATCACCACCTCAAGTGAGCGAGCTCCGTTATCTAGAGCACACACAACCAGCTCTTCTGTCTCACACTACTTTTTCTGTTTACAAAATAAAATGTTAAGGTTTCATTAATTACTGGAAAAAAAAACAGCACTTCCACAGAGTGGAGGCTTGCAGGCTTTTCAAGAAATGGGTGAGAAGCACCTTCTGCCCTGAAGGAGTGAGAACTGACCGTGCTTGGCCTTCTCCATGGAGGAGGGTGCGGCAAAGGTTTGGGGCGAGGCAGGAGATCTTGTGGAAATAGGAGTCAGAGTAATCCGCCTGCGTGTTGGGGGGGAGAAGAAACAGGAAGAACGTGACAACAGCAAAAGATACACCATTTTAAACACTTTCTGGGGGGAAAAGAATGTCTACCAGTTTCTGGACCTGGATTTTGGCGAGGGATTACAGGTTTCATGCGCAATTTTAATCATTCCCACAAGTCCAGTACTGATCGTAATGCAGGGAATTCACACAAGACATATGAATTAATCAGCATAAATGAATGAATCAAATCAATACATCAATCTGAGCCTCCTGTCAGCCTAGTAACATGGGAAGTACAGGTAGAATGGACCACTGAAGCACAAATCTGTCCTCTGAAGAATAAAAAAAAAAAAAGAGAGAGCACTGCATCCAGAAAGATGAAATAACAGTGGTGTAGAAGATCCTCACAACGTATAAAGGAGGTGAAGCAGTGCAAAGATTAAGTTTCAGGCAAGTTGCCTTAAAATATATCCATGGCTAGAAATAAAGGAGGAATGAGTTGTTCAGGTTACAATATATACGGTACTCGATGTTACAACACATCAACATTATTTCAGCAGGTTGTGTTTCATATACAGTAGCACTGAACAGCCAGGCAGAATCAGCAAAGGATGCTATGGCTAAGGCAAAAACCTAAGGTCCATCAGAAATGCATCAAAGCTGTTACAAGCACCCTTAAGGATGACCTTAACAAGGCTGTCCTAAGTAGTCTACTGTACTCCTTAATACTGGAGTCAGACATAAGAGTCAAACAAATCTTCACATTTGTGGGGTATATGGCAATCTAAAAACTCCTCAGGAACTGAAATCATGGACGGAAATGCAGATGGTGCTGAAGTTGTGTCGTCGTCGTCAAGGAGCAGTTGAATGAGCAGGAATGCACTGCTCAGCTCATCGTGGCTCCTTGTGACGCAGCCAGTTCAGTGGAGACAAACAGTTTTTGGATGATTAGAGCGCTTTTGTGTGAGAAGCTTCATGAATTGCAGAAGCAACTGGATGAGCTTGAACTGAACTTTACTTAGGCCCACAGAGTGGGGTGGTCATCGAAGTACAGTGCAGCGTCAACTGTGTGTTGATCACTGAAAGCTCAGAGACTGTGGACTGTGACAAAGCCAAGGGCTAGGTGACTTGTCAGTTCAACTTTGTGACCCTCTGTCATGGGATGATGGATGCAAGTACAGTATGCAAGTAGTCCTCCTCTCAAGGCATTAAACAGTTCAATTCATGGTTCAAGGTACCAAAGTAGAAGAGATGAACCAAAGATCGTCCATTCAAATCCCGCAGACCAGAAATTCTTCGAGTACCACATTCTTAAAACAGCCTTTAATGATGTGCATTTGTTAGGTCCTAGATTGAAGAAATCGCCAGAAGCAACAATGGATCTTTCATGGTTCAATGTTTTGGAACCAAAAGAGAACCATGGAGTTGGAGTTCAGGATACTTAAGTGGGCCATGGTATCCAACCGCTTCATTATCCTACTAAGAGTTTGTAGGGAGTTGGCTGAATGAACATAGAAATGGGAAAACTGCTAGTGATACAAGCCTCATGGAGGTCATGTGAAAAGAACACCAGACAGGATTAACCTGATGCGCATTTCAGAGCTTGAGCCTTCAAGACCAGTTTAACACAAACTGAGCTACTGTCAAGTAGAAAGAGACGAAAAGATAGAGATGGATGATGGGGAAGGACTGAGAATGGAGTGGGCTTGTATTTCTTCTAATGCTGACTGATAAATCATATTTTTAATCAGCGTGATATGAACATGCGCAACACACATTTCAAGACTGCCTGAATCGCGATAAGAAAAATCAATATATTTACACCTCTTGTGCATCCACACTCCGCATGTGAACATTGAACCTATCAGGTGGAGGCGTCATGCGAAATCTCCTCCATCGTACAAATACCTTCCTCCTGTGACCATGTCGGCCAGCTGTCTGCATGTTGACACAATCGTGATGATGCAATCATGAGCTTCAAGTTACCCTATAAGTTTCCAGTTCAGCCTTACTGCGGCAGCAAGCATTTACATCAATAAAATATGTTCACGAATATTGTTTAAAAAGGTGTGTTTTTAAGTATTATAAAAAATAATTTACATTTAGATTGATAAGCGACGTTTTATTGTGGATTAACCAACATGTTTTGTTAGATTACTGATGTATATTTAGGTCAATGGTGCTACGTTTTAATCGACTGTAACTGTATATTTAGCTTGATAAAAATTGTTTCACTGACATGTTTATTAATAATGTATATTTAGCTCCATACCAATATTATTGATTACCATATATATAAAATACATTCACAAAGGCTTTAATAAATGGTGTGTTTACCATTATAAAAAAATTGTTTACATTTAGCTTGATAGTATTACCGGCGTTTTATTAATATATATTCAGCTCGATAGCTAAGCCCCTTAATGATTATAATGGAAGACATTTGTTTTTCTAAATTTATAGATCAAGAGATGATGTTTAGAACAAAATATTTTAAAAGGAGCTGGGGAAATTAATGTCTTATAATTATTAATTCTTATTTACATTAATGTTCTGTTTAATTGGTTGGGTATTCATGTGCAATTTGTTCAATATAAGCATGTTCGAAGTATTTATTTAATCCTTTTTTCTATGGACATAGGTTAATAAATATTTGGGGTCTAAGTCAGCAGAAAGACATTGGAACTGAACTACAAATATGCACACTTCTATTTTTATCGCAAGTCATATCGTCATTGCAATATTGAACCGTTATCGAACATTGCAGATTTTCCTCATATCGTGCAAACATTATTTTCTACGCAAATGCAAATTTTTGACATGTAATGAGTAACATTTCTCATGAAAGCCACTCTCTTTCTCCTTTAAGAAATAAATTTCAGACAATGAGCTGAGAAACAGTTCAGCCGATTGCCACAATTCTTAAGTCTAAGAAGTGTTTATGAGAGCAGCAGCGGTAGTAACCAAATATCTGTCCAGCGAAGAGCACAGTGACGGCAAAGCAACACGTCGTTACAGATGTCTTACCTGGGGGTGGGTGCTCCCTGCGGGGTGCTGGGGGCTTTGGGGGTGGTGGGTTTGCTCCAGCCCTCCAGTGTGTTCAGTGTGATTCTGCGGGGCTGTGGCTTGGTCTTCCCACATGGAGGGTTTCTCCCTTCCTCATTGGCCCTAGAGCTCAAGGGGGTGGAGCCTGGGTCCGACCCCAACAGGGAAGCAGGGGAGCTGCCTTCGGACATAGTCATGCGGGGCACAGGGGACGCCGTCCTCGCCGCGGATATCTTCTTGCCCTTCTTCTCAGGGACGGAGCCTGGAGTACAGAGCTCAAGCTGCGGACGTTCCTTCAGTGGCGTGCCCAGCTCCCCCGGGGAGAATGTGATAAAGGAGCAGTACCCATCTGTAGAGGAGATGGCCAAGATGGAGCCATCCCTGGACCTGGAGAACAAGCGAAAGAGAGACGTGAGGGAGATACTCAGAGAGGAGGCACGAAAGGGGAGAGAAAACCCAGAGGGGAAAACGGGACAAAAGGAATGAGAGCAGCAAATATTTTGAACCATGGTGCCATTTCTAAAAAGTATTTCAGACAGCAGCCTCTCAGGTGAACATAGACACATGAACGCGTACGTTTCCTCCCAAAAGCCTGACAGCTGCTGCTCAAACGCACCAGGTGAGGTCACTGAGCGTGTGGTAGTGGATGTTGGAGACGTAGCCAAAGGGCAGCCGGTGCTGGGTGTCGTACAGCAGGACCGAGTCCTCAGAGGCCACGGCGAACACCAGGCGGTAGGGTAGCGGGAAAGTGCTGGGTGGGGCCTGAGCAGAATCATCTGCAGGATTGGAAGCAAGAGCACAGTCAACACACCACCTTCTACAGTGGAACCACAGGCATATGGCGGACTGGTGGGGAGCTTTAGCCAGATATAGTCATGTCTGGGAGAGAAAGACACTCCTTCAGATTTCCTCACTCAGAAAACAGCACAAATGTACAGCAGTAAATATACACATGTGCCAAAAGCTGGTCCAGTGTGAGTCCTACCTTCTCCCTTTCTGGATCTCAGCTCAAAATAAACGGGGCAGCAGCGGACAGCTAAGGTGGCCTTGGAAGGGCAGGGCAGGTGTGCGATGGGCCTGGGGGTGGGGGGGGCGGACACAGCATGGGTCATATTGGCACTACAAGTTATTCAGTCAGCCGGGATGGGGGGCACTCAAACTTTTCTCGCACACGTACCTTTTGAAGCTCTTCCGAGAAAAGACGTATGTGGTGTTGGTGACATTTTCACCAGCCTCCACGCAGCCAGCTGCATTATGGGAAGTGACATGACATTTCCTGTTTAGTCATGGGCACCCTCAATTACTATACAGGTACTAAGATCATCAGTATGTAACATTAAAGTGATGTAACCATAGCAGTGTACGTGTGACAGTTATCAGGGACATAAATGCAATGGGAATATCAGAGTATGCTAATGCCCCCCCAAACATTACAGATGTGCGGCACCTGGAGCAAGCAGGAAGGAGCCATCGGGGGTGAAGGTGAGCCGGCGGAAAAACGACCGCATGCTGTCGTCATGAAACATTCGGTAGTTCTTCACCTGTGAATGAGAAGCTGAGCGTTTGAACATCAGAGGCACTCCTAGTAAAGGGGCAACATTTGAATAACATTAAACATGAGCCTTACAAATGCCCTTCTGCCATAATCGACGAACTAGCCAACATACTGCTGAATGACAGAGGAAAAGTCTAAAACTTTTCAGACTGATGAAAGACCCCTTCAGGTCAAACACTGCTCCACGATCACCATCCTGCAGAAGATGACAGCAGAATGACAGCTGTCCCTCCACACTAACCTCTCCTTCAGCAGATCCTCCGGAGCACATCCTGCTGGTGTTACAGGTCTTCTTCCTGGTCTGAATGCTGTACACCCGCAACACCCTGAAAGCCACATGCACAGAGGTCAGAGCAGCACTGGGGAGGACAGACGCCCATCATAGAGGGATACGCCCACCTACCTGTCACAGCTGAGGGTGGCGATGTATTTTCCCAAGGGGTCCCAGGCCACTCCCTGTACGTAGCTCTTGTGATCATTGAAAATGTACATCTTCTGACCTGGATGTAGAGTACAGATGTGTCCGTAAATCAAATGCCACTTAATGCCCTGGCAGCCAAGAGCTGGGGTCTACGGCATACGGCCGAGTAGCCTACCCTTCATCACATCCCACATGATGGCAGTATTGTCCACGGAGCCCGACACCAGGAAGTTACCATCGACGGCCCAGGAGATGTCATACACGTCCTCAATGTGACCCCTGAGAGTGAGAAATTATTTGATGTCCCACAATACCAGGTGTGGGGGAGAAGGTAGCCCCCCCCATTCCTAAAAAGGCCCCACATCCATACTGAAAATCCAGAGTGAACACACTGGGGCAAGCAGCTGCTGCTGTAGCCTCAGTCCCGTCACCCTGATCTCTAATCCCCTCTTGGTTAATCGCTGTGGGCCAGTCGCATCCCCCAACCGCAAACCTCCACCTTTCTCACCGGAGCGTCTTCACCACAGTCCAGCTCTCCTTGTTCAGTCGGGCATCTTCATCCTCCTGGAAGGTGGTCGGCTCCGGCTCCTTGCTGTCGTTCAACTTCCAGAGCAAGATGGCTGCATCTGGGGAGACAAAGGGGGAGGATTTATGCAGAGCACCCGCTGCTGGCACTACGAGTGTAAATTAGCAGATCAAGGCTCCATACTCGGAGACTCAAGAGTTCTTTATTGTCGAAACACCCACATACAAGTACACAGTGCGCTGAAACACCCCCGACTTTCCCTTGGACCCCTTTTGGTGCTGCATATTAATACAAATACAATGGACATTAATGCTGATCTCAGGATAGGTATTTAAAAAAAAAAAACAAACAAAAAAAAAACATTCATTTCACTTATCCACTGGCTCCTGGATCCCAAGCCTTGGCTTTTTGAAACAACGAATGACCTACCATCACCACCCGACGCCAGCAGCTCAGAGCAGGGGGAGAATCGCACTACATTGACCGCCTTGGTGTGTCTGGCCAGGTTGGAAAGAAACTCCACAACCGTCTTCCCGTCCGAACCGGTCTCCACTTTCCACATCTGAAATTGCAAGGATCTACATCACGTCCTATAGCAGGGGTGTCAAACTCCAGTCCTGGGGGGCTGGAGCCCTGTGTAGCTTAGTTCTTTCCCTGTTCCCCTATAAATGATTCAACTCAAGAGCTGTGTGGTAATTAGCACAAGGAGGTGTGTTAAATGAGGGGAAACCCAAAAATGCGTAGGGCTCCGGCCCTCCAAGACTGGAGTTTGACACCCCTGCCCTATAGGAATGAGAACAGACCAACGCTCCTCACAAAAATCAGCTTGAAACACTCACCCTCACTGTGCTGTCCACTCCTGCAGTGGCCAGCCGATGGATTCTGCCTTCAGCCCACTGCTGGAAGTCCATGCTGTACACAGGCTCTTTGTTGTGCCATGCAATCTCACAGGTGGTGACCTTCATGATGCTGCAGCTATGACATAAAGCCACACATGCTACAGGATAGTATACAACAGTCACACCAGCTGGTATTTCTTCAGCCTTAACGTTAAGATAGAAACTGGGCATGAAAAACGAGACTTCTTCGTGAACTAGGTTAGAAATGACCGTGTTTTAAGACAAACATGACCCAATAATTCACTGATAAAAAAATAACTCGTAACGCAGAGAAAAGTCAATGCAACCATGATAAATTAGAGTGCCCATAGTTTATGGGGTACACAGCTAATGAAACCAGCGGTGAATTACTACCATTTTAGGAAGCGCGTAACTTTACTGCTAACCTGAGTTTTGTTTCTCTTGTTTATTACAAAACAGTCGGCAAACTCACGCCTCTATACGCCGGTTATAGGAAGACTTGAATATGTCCCGCAGTCGGAATGAGAGCGCTGCGTTATCGCGTTTTTTCTGATATTTCCACGGCTCCCGGTTTCTTGTTCCCCGCTTTGTCCCGGCGCCGCTCGGCCGATTCGCAAGGTTTCCCGCGCTAGTTTTCGGCTGGAAGCCCCTCCTACTTCGACAACTCCGACCGCTTCCGGTCGCGAGACAGTCGACGTTTCCGCTATCATACGCGTTTCCTGTTAACTGGTTACGGTTTTCTCAGTAGGATCACAGTGGTGTGTGCAGTTGCTTAGGGTGTTTCAGCGTTTCTTAAACCAGGGTCTCTCTATCTGTAATGCGTAATTGCGTAAGTAACTAAAAACCGGCTATGGAATCCCCCTGTAACATTTTTGCCCCGACATTTTAAGTGCCTTGTAAGATCACTGTTCCCTTCTACCCAGATCCAACTAGCGTCTTTACAGGGCTGCCAGCTCTCACGCACCTGGCGTGACATTCATGCTTTCAGACTCTCAAGCAAGAAATCTTACTGCAAATCTAAATTATTCCATCATTAACCTAAAATTTGCAACATCAAAAGCGTTGGGATAAGTTTGCAAACCCAACAGACTACTTATTGGGTGATAAAACTGTTACATGTAAATGCGTGTGTAGCATTGCCTCAAATGGAAAATCTCACGCCAGCCAGCTGACCAATGTTAGCAACCCTGTCTTTATCCTGATTTTGCAAGCTTGGTTACCTAACATCGGTTGTGATTCCTTTTCCTGCGTCCCACCCATAACTGCGTAACTGAGAGGTTCAGGGTTTTTAGGGAAGCTTCTAGTGTCACACTCACACGATAGACAGGCAACATTTTAAGGAATTCCCACATTTATTAACACATGTATGAACACAAAGCTGAATGTGTTAAATTAACTCCCTTGAAGTCCAATGAGTAAAAATTATCGTTTTAACTGTTTGTTTGAGCAGATATGGCAATGTGATCTACAAAAGCAAATGAACTCAACTGTGCAAATAAATTACTGTAGGCATTCTTTGAGACCATTGTGTGGGGGTCAAATTTCCTTGGCATTCACTTCCATTTGGCTTTAATGGTAGGGGATGCAATCATATTTATCTGCAGAATATTTGTCCAGTCAAGTTAGATTACAATTTTTTACAAGCTGCATCTGCACAACTAAAAATGCAGTGGAAGAAGAAACCAGTTTTGGAGAGAAGTGTTCCATAAGCCCCAGCTGTCCGTATGTCCGTTACAATCTTCAAAAAAAGTCACTTTTCTCACAAAATTGGTACGGTACCTTTGGACCATGTCTATTGCTACGAATACACTTCAGCTACTTTGGATACATCCCAAGCTGTGAGATGGTTCCTCCTTTTGTGCTTTGCGGAAGACCTTAAACATTAAAACAGAAATCCAGTTGAAACATGGTTTTAAGATAAACAGAAAGGCTTTCATCCATCGATTAATCTTTTAACTGCTTATCCCGGTCACACTCACAAGGGAGAAGCTGTCATTTGACACTAAATCCTAATGAACCTCTACAATGGAAACGACACACGGCAGTAGCGCGACTCCTTTTTAAAAATACCACTGGAGACAGTTGCCAGTGTACATCAAAGAATAATGCTTTTTAAGGTAATTTTCAGAGAAGCAGGTACAGAATATCTCAATGGATTCCAAGGATTCTGAAATTTTAACTCCATTTTTCTTATGGGAATGCATTTCAAAATAGTTACAAATTCTGATGTGCAGTTTTGTTTTTTGTATGTGCTAAATCACAATGTAACACTGGAGAGCAAAACAGTTGACTTGTGGCAGTTGTCCCATTGGAAGACATGTATAAAAATGGCCTGTGAGCTTCAGCATGCTGTCACCCTATGGCTTCTGTCCGCTCATTGCGTTTTCAAGTACCATAACCATTGATGATCTCCAGCGAGCTAGTCTTCAGTGGTTTAGAATCCAGTGATTTGTAGATCTAACTTCTCACAACCTTAGACGAATGATTTGCTTAGTAAGTGAAGCCTTTTGGAGTTAAAAAAAAAAAGAAAGAAACAAACTGTTTCAACTGTCTATAGAAAAGTGATGAAGATCCCTATACACTGTAAAAATGCTTTAAAGCAAGCATTGGGAAAAGAAACAAAAACATTTGTCAGGAATTAAATCAACCCCATTAAAGTTAAAAGGGTCATTATCTAGAGACATTGTACTTTTTTCAGTGCAAAAGATTTTCTTTTTTAAATAATAGATTGATATGAAAAAATAGAAAAAATACATAATGTACAAAGATTCAGAGATACATTCAATAAAGTCTGTTTCTGAGTTGTAAAAAATAAAGTGAGACAGGCAGATATGGAGGTAGAAAGAGAGAGGCCAGCAGGGGGTGTCCAGCATCTCTTTGTAATTGTCCCACTGGCCCCCACTGCATATCTATGTGTCCCCTGCCCCCCCGACTTCCTCCAAGACCTGTGCCAGGATCTCGTCGATGACCTCGCAGTCATAGTTGACCTGCTCCAGCTCCAGTGCGGGAATGAAAGTCACCAGCAAGCGACCCACACTCCGGCGCAGTTCATTCAGCTTCCTGTAGGGGGCAGAGAGGTAGAGCTGTGTGTTTGACAGATCAACGTGAGCAGCTAACCCAAATCAGCCTGCCTGAATGTTACTTACTGACTGTCGGAGGCTACAGCTCGCAGTGCTATGTTAATGGTGATGTAAGTTTGTACCTTTGAGCCTCATCTGTGGGCACTTGTGTGCCTGTGGGGCTGGGGGTTGTCGTGCCGTTTTGTTCTGCATCAGCAGCAGAGTCCTCCGTTGCATTCTGGGCCTCTTCTCCAGGGATGGGGCTCCCTGTCTCTCCATTTGTTCTCAGCTGCTCCAGCTCTCTGTTCAACTCTTCACACTGACAGGATAAAAAGGAGATAGAAATGGGTGACTGTGCATGTGTGTGGTGAAGATGTGCTCTTCTGTTTAGGAGACACACACACACACCTTGGCTCTGAGCTGCGTCATTTCATTGTTGCTCTGGTCCAGGTCTCGCAGGAGTGAATCTACTTGCAGAGCAACTTCATCATCCTCCTCTGCCTGACGGGACATCTTTACCTCCTGCTCCGGCTTCTCCTCCTGCCCCTGACAGGAGACCTGCTGGCAGGGAGTCCGCAGCTCCTGATCCTGCTCCTCCTTCTCTCCCTTCCACTCGGTCTGAACCTCCTGTTCACAAAGCTCCTTCTTGACAAGGCTCTGCCTCAGCTCCATTATCTGGGCCTCCAGGTCCTCTGTCTTGCAGGTGAGCTGGTGCACCTCTTCCTTGTAGGTATCCCTCTCTTGGGCGGTGGTCTGCATCAGCTCCAGCAGCTGATCCTGCTGCTGCTGCGCATCCTGCAGGAGCATGTCCATGGTCTGCTTCGCTCCCATTGCCTCCTTTTCGGCCACTGCCTCTGGTGCCTCAGATGTCACCATTGCCTCTCCTTCCGGGTTCTCTGAGTGGAGCTGCCCGTGTTCCTCACCCACATCTTCCTCCCTGTCCGCCTGCTCCTCCTCCTTCCCTGCCGTCATCTCCATCTCAGCATCTGCTGGCTCCCCCTCTTGCATCTGCTCGGTGTCTGCGGACTTCTCCTTCTCCGTCTCCTCGCCCGTCTCTGCCTTCACGGTGGGCTTGGGGTCTGTCTGGGTGGTGGCGGAGACGTGATTCTGGGAGGTCTGCGGAGAGGAGGCCTCATGGAGCGTTGCGGTGGTGTTGCTCTCTGAAGCCGCTTCGACGGCGGCGTCATCGCTGCACTCCAGGTGCATGCCTGTGGTCTCCTCGCTGACACGCCGCTCGGTCTTCACCTTGGCAAGGTCGAAGGTCGGCGCCGTGGGTTTTGGCGTGCTGCCAGTCTCGACAATCACCACGTCGTCGTCGTCGTCGCTGGCGATGACGACTGGTGAAGACCGGCCCGCCTCCGTGGCTTCCTCTGTCTCTGCTGCCGTGCTGTCATGGAATCCATTGCTCCTTGCCCTTTTTCTCTCCAGACTATCAGGGTTCATCGAAATTGTTCTCTTCATCCTGCACAAATGAGACACACTCAGTTTGGATTGCTTCTCAGCCCAAAGCTAGTAAAAAGCTAGGATAAGACGTCCGCTCTACCTCGCAGGCGTGGACAGCGAGCACACGTTGGAGATGATGGGCATGTCACTTGCGGCGGAACGGCAACCTGCAGGGCAGCAATGAGACGGATGACACGGACCCCCCGGTGGAATGCTCACATGACCACACCGATTGACACGGACAGGAGACAACAGGGAGCTGCATTCACCGGTACGTGACAGGGAGGCCTGGCCTGGAGCGGGACCTCCTCGGACTCCACTGCTGACTGAAGGTGTGACCAGTGAGGATGACGTCGACACCACGGGCTGGAAGTTCTGCGGAGGAAGAGTGAAGCGTGAACTGGAATCATGATGCGCGTTTTAACTTAAACCAACCCAAGAGGAGGCTTAATACTGGTAACGGATATTAACACACAACCATAGCCTTAAAGGTGCCATAAAGGGAAAATCCGATTTTACCTCAGAATAGCTGAATAAGGAGAGTTCAGCACATACGTTGTGCGAAGGCTGAAGTAAGAGTATAACAGCTACAAGTGACTAGAACGAGTACACTCTAAAGTAATGATTAAAAAGTACAGTAAATACACAAACCAGTTACAAAGTTGTTGATCATTATCAAATATGTACTGTACATAGTTGTATGTGGAATACATGACTGGCAGCACGGCAGGTTTGTTACACCTGCATCACCACGGACACACGAGTAATGTGTTGTGCTATGATGTCACTAGGCGATAGGAATTTTTCAGCTCTATTATAATCTTATGGGACCACCATCGTAAATGAGGTCCGTCGTTGACCGTAATGTGGCACATGACCGTGGAAATGTTAGTTCCGTGTGAGCCATCGCAGTGTCTCACTGTAAACAGGTCAATCAGAATAGAGCTCATCAACAATTAATGAGCCCAGCGAAAAAAAGGAAAATGGCCAGTTTCATTCTATGGCCAAACAACAGCCTTGTAAATGGACCTGTAAAACCACTTTTGGGCATTTTTTGACCAAACCAAGTTCACACACCTATGTAGACACCAGAGAACAATTTAAAATACTGGAAAGATGCATTCTCTGGCACCTTTAAAAAGTACAGAGATTAAAGAGTGTTCAAAAAAAAAAAAAGACTAGTGTTTATCCATTGTCCAAACCAGCTGTTCATTGGGATTTAAAGTCTGACGCCGTCTGCAGTACATGCTCTAGTCTGCCCCCTACCCACCGACTGCTTCAACTGCCGCTTGAGATCCTCATGTTGCCTCCTGAGGGCTTCGTTCTGCTGAGCCAGGGCTGCGATGCGCTGCATGTCCGCGGCCTTCTTCGCCTGCTCCATCTGCAAACACCCACACGTCTTTGTAACTCGGAGCTCTGCACCAGCATCCTGGCTCGCTGATCACAAGAACTCGTGGCCATAGGTGGAAATTAGCGGGAGAACATTTCAAACTGGATTTAAGGAAGCACTTCTTTACACAGCGTGTAGTCA